CGAGTGATCAAAAAAATTACTTTAGAAGTTTAAGGAGATTGTGTAAAGAGCAAGTGATAAAAAAAATTACATTAGAAGTTTAAGGAGATTGTGTAAAGAGCAAGTGATCAAAAAATTACTTTAGAAGTTTAAGGAGATTGTGTAAATAGCGAGTGATAAAAAAAATTACATTAGAAGTTTAAGGAGATTGTGTAAAGAGCAAGTGATCAAAAAATTACTTTAGAAGTTTAAGGAGATTGTGTAAAGAGCGAGTGATAAAAAAAATTACATTAGAAGTTTAAGGAGATTGTGTAAATAGTGAGTGATCAAAAAATTACTTTAGAAGTTTAAGGAGATTGTGTAAAGAGCAAGTGATAAAAAAATTACATTAGAAGTTTAAGGAGATTGTGTAAAGAGCGAGTGATCAAAAAATTACATTAGAAGTTTAAGGAGATTGTGTAAAGAGCGAGTGATCAAAAAATTACATTAGAAGTTTAAGGAGATTGTGTAAAGAGCGAGTGATAAAAAAAATTACATTAGAAGTTTAAGGAGATTGTGTAAAGAGCGAGTGATCAAAAAATTACATTACAAGTTTTAGGAGATTGTGTAAATAGCTAGTGAAGCTTTAAATGCTATTCTTCAAAATTATCTGAAAACATTTTGGCTCATTAAAAAGGAGAAAACTCGGATGGTAAAGATAAAGAAAAAAGAAATAATAACAAAGAAAGAGAAAACAGAAAATTAGAAACTATAGTGGCTTTGGCACTATTGTCAACCAGCCAGGCATGGTAAAAAATTATGGAAGAACCTTTCTAATCTTGACCAAAGGCATGGGAAATAACAGCAGTTTTTTTTTTCTTTGAAAGTCTATTTACCCCTAAGACTCAAGAGATTCCATATAATTTGAAGACCACAGATGTTCCTATTACTAGGGCCAAGAGAAATAGGCATTTACTAAAATGTTATCAAAATAGTTTTAAATTAATATTATTATTTTTTGGTTACCAGCTTCTTAGTTTTATGATAATGTCTGTTTCTTCAAATAAATATTTCATTTTACAAGTGTCTCTGACAGCAAATTCAGTTTATGTGACATTTTTGTTATTATTAAGAAATGGATAACTAATTGGGTTGCTTCATAAAAGCAAAGTTCATTATAAATGGAATTTTTTATAGCTTGAGTTAGGAGGAGCAGTAGTGTTTCTCATTGGTCTGTTGCTACTGTTAATATTTTACTATTGCCATTAGTACAGATACAGTAGTATGTCTGAGTGTGCTGCCTAGTTTTATTAGAAGTGATTGAAAGGTATAAGGAAAACATGTATCGCTAATTGATTACTTCACCGATTGAGTTAACCACAGATTGTTTTATATCTAATAGTAATACTTGTCATCCACACATGAATACTGTGGTCTATAATTATAAAGATAATACATTGATCAGTTGAAAAAAGCACCTTGAAGAACTACCAGAAAAATCCCTGGTTTTAAAGGGAGAAAGTTAAGCTAGATTTCAAAATGTTTTATTCGGAATATAAAAGAAATAAAGGGGGGATTCAATTTAGGTGTTGAATAATCTGTTTGTAAGTTGTAATGTTAATATTATATTGCAAGTTCCAGGCAGTTTTTCTCATTTTTTGCCTTTTTTCTTTATGAAGTAGAGGGCTGAAAATAGCGACATGAATGCTAAAGACCAATGTTAGAAAATTTTAACAACTACATTCAGGCTTATTTTTCAACAAAATTATTTTACTTAGGCCTACGTCTCGAGACTCGGGGTCAATAATGGAATTTGTTAAACTTAAGGATGTGACTGTGAGTGATGTTAACTACCTTTTTCCCCAAAATTTGGATGAGGTTATTGACAGAAAAGGCTATATTTGTGATTTTAGTTTTATAGTTCTTAAATTAAACTGAATGGCTAGCCTTTTGACGAATTCTGTTGCCTAATGTTTGTAATTCGTAGTAGTATTAGCACTACTACTATACTGTAAATTGTAATAGTGCACATATCAATACAATGTATGAACTTTGCTAAAACTAAATCTTAAAAGCACGTTTTACAAATTCAGTTATTTACCAACATAAATTATTGAAGAAGGAAGTAACTTCTTACTTCGTTAGAAGCCTCATTACTTAAGTCTTCGTTCCTTTCCATTTTTGAAATGTTTATATCCTGTCAAAACTTCAATAATCCAACAACTTAAAATTTGCCGTCTTACTATCTATATACAGCAAAACACCAGCCTTCGTGACTTTTGGCCATCTGGCGTGGGATGAGTAAAATTGTGTAAAACTTTTTTCCTCATTTTTTGTATCCGTTTGTGTTTTCTTCTTATAGAAAACTACCCACACCAATGGATCAGTGGTAAGTCTGAAGGCTTATAGCGCTAAAAACCTGGTTTCGATACCCGTAATGGACCCAGCACAAGTAGCCCATTGTATAGTTTTGTGCGCAGCTACAATCAAACTATTAAAAAACTAACATATAAATACATTTACGGATAAGCGAAATAGTAAACTTAATCTCTCTCTCCTTTTTCTTCCCTTTTTGTTTGTCGTTTGATAAATTTATGTCTATTTCATAAAGATAAAAAAATCCCCACAGTTTAATATTTTTATTTTCATTGTTACTCCAAAATTTGTAATGCGTACTGGAGGGATTTAGACAAGTGGTTTTCAAACTGGGTTCCGCGAAGGGTCAACAGGGGATCTCTACTTAGATAACAGATAATGACGTGTTTTCTTTTTGTGTGTTTTTGTTTTGTTAACCTGTTAGGGACCAAATGTATTTTTAAAAATCTTGAGTCAGGTGATATTTAGTCTTCTCCGCACAGTTTCATTAACAATACCTGTTACGAACGTGATCTCTTTCATCTAGGTTAGGCTTTAACAATTAGTTGGTGTTCCGTTACGGAATGAATGAAATAAAAGGGTTTCATGGCTTTCAAAGTGTGAAAACCATTCACTTAGACATTTTGGTGATAAAAGTTGGTAAAAAAACTATCTTTACCCTCCCGGTAATAATAAGATGTTTTTTATTTCAACCAACTTTTCGCCGTTGTGGCTTCATCGGGTCTAGTAGTACAATAACTGTTTGATGTGAAAATATACATTTTGATTGTTACCTACTACACTTGGAGACAGGATGTCACTCTTATCTCAACTATCTTTTTGTGTTCATACATTTCATCTCTAATTTTTGAAGTTGTAGTTTACTTATTTGTGAAATTCGTGAAGGTTATTTGCGTCTACATCATAAACAGACTCTATTATATAAACATTTAAGTCATTTATATTTAATATTGGTTTAAAAATACTTAATTCCTTTAAAACATTTTCATTTGTATTAAATTCGAAAACTTTTATACGCTTGGCCTAATATACTACTTTTTAGAAATTAATTTTCTCTCAATGTTTTGAATTTTGGGCAGCCCAATATGACGTGTAATATAATTCATCTCCTAAACAAAATTTCTCATTAATTAAACAATCATTTCATCAATGTTTAGAAGTATCTGTCTTTTAAATTTTAAAGTTACATTTTTAAACTATGATTCAAAAGAATTAGTTTAACCAATCAAGATTTTCGTCGTTTATGAAAAAGATCCATTACTAAATATTTTTCAAACTGCTCTTAACATAATATAAACTGCTTATAATTTTTAATGTAGAATGTTTTTTTAATTCCGCATATCTTTCTAGATTATAAACATCATTCATCTTTTGTTCAAATCTCTTTAAAAATAAATTTTCATTGCCTATTTTCTGAGCAATCCAAATCCACAGATGAAAAGTAATTTTCGACTATCAGAAGTGTGCCATTCTTAGATACACTGATTTGTCCTAAAAGTAATCGGATAGGTTCCACAGGACAAAAGGAGGTTCAACAAAAAATGTATTTCGGAGCAACCCTGAAATATTTGATTTTAACTAAGTTTGAAAAATGAAAGAGACTGAACACAATATGTAACAAAATGAAAATATATTTATTCAGTTCACAAAAACAATCAAAAAGAGAGTATTATAAACGGTGCCTTTATTGGAGAGAGCTCTTTGTAGACATATCTCTCTAGGACTACTATTCCAGACTGAGAAAACATAGCATTATATACATAAAGCCACAATGCTATTCTTCTCAATAAATCCCAGGTTGTTATGACATGAAAGACTATTTACCTGCACTTGCTACTTTAGTTAGTTTGCAAGTTGCATTCATACAACTGTCTGTAGTTATCATTTGATTCGCCAAGAGAATAATTTAGCTTACTAATGTAATGCTTCAACTTTCCTGTAAGAAAACCTAATACGTGGTTTAGGCCTTCATAATGATTTTGCTCACTCCTAGAGAAAGGGAAAGTTTAGTAATTCTGTTGAGTGGTACCTCACTGCAAAAAGGAACAAAAGAGAACAATGAAAAACAACGTAACTTTAAAACATCTTGTTTTTTTAACTAAAGGGATAAAAAAACATATAGTATGTCCCCATAATACACATTCATCCCTGAGTTTAAAATTTGAAACCGATTAAAGAAATTCACACATCGGTCAAGTAGATGATGTTGCTTTCTCTGGCCCCTGTAAAACACTTACACGGCTACACACAGAATAATCATATTAAACACAAAATAAAGACTAAATACAGTTTAATCGGTTAAAAATAAACAGTGACATTCACTTTTTGGAAGAAACCCTTCAGAGCAGTGAAACAAAAATATTAAACATTAGAATTGCAAATAAGATCTTAAAATACAGGTTAAAATCAAACTTAGGAACTCAGAGACATGAATTGTTTGTTTGTTTTTGAATTTCGCCCAAAGCTACACTAGGGCTATCTGCGCTAGCCGTCCCTAATTTAGCAGTGTAAGACTAGAGGGAAGGCAACTAGTCATCACCACCCACCGCCAACTCTTGGGCTACTCTTTTACCAACGAACAGTGGGATTGATCGTCACATTATAACGCCCCCACGGCTGAAAGGGCGAGCATGTTTGGTGGGACGGGGCAAAGACATGAACTAAACTAGAAAGTGAAATAGATTCTTGTCTCAGAAATAAAACACATCAAAACAAACCTATTCACAAAATATGAAGAAAGCACTTTACTGTGATCAAAAAGGGAGACGAATTTAAATAAACGTTAACATACAATACAAAACATGAAATAATTTCATAATTAAGTTTGCTTGTTTGTTTCAGAGCAAAGCCACATTGGGCTATCTGCTGTGTCCATTGCAGAGAATCGAACCTCAGATTTTAGCATTGTAAGCCTTAAATTTACCATTGTGTCACTGGGAGAACCCTTTACAAAGATAAACGAAAAAAAAATTGAAAATAAATCCTTTTATACAACATACTAAAATACGAAATGAACTCTTTTACACAATACATTGCAGGTACACAAATGAAATAATGTTTTACACAATTCATAATACAAAATATAGAATAGACCTCTTAACGTAATAATAATAGCAGTTAATCACCTTAACACTCTTTACATAAATTTACACTGCTAAATCAATAACATTGCTTTTGGGTTTACACATGTATATGTATATTTACTGATTTCAAGACTAGACATAATACTCAGCTTGAAGTCATAAGTCCATTAAAAGCACAGACTTGCACAAAGATATGAAATGAAGAATAATTTTGTATATGTAATCGACTCTAAAAAGTGATAAAGCTTAGATTATCCAGATGAAGGGTAATGTCCTTCATATATTCTGATCTTGAAGACTAATAAACTGAAGGTTATCCAAATGAAGGGTAATGTCTATAACTTCCGTGGATGACGATCATTGTGTTAACATAATATAAAAGAAATTAAAGCCAAAGTTCTGTACATCTAAATATGAAAAGGAAAAATAATAGCATAAAAATGCATCCTTCATTTAGGCCACGTAATCACTGGATCCTTTTTAACAGACCTTTGAGGGTAACTATAATCTGATGTAATACTTCCTTGACCTCTACCAAGGCCTTTAAGGTCTGGGCTAATTTCGGTCACATATGCTACACTTCCTTCTCCAACTGAGATAGCAGGTCATCACATTTCAACAACTGATCCTCTTCTCTGTTACAGAGTGCCCAAGTCTCTAGAAACTTAGGGAAGATGAGACTGCAAACATTAGAACCTACAATGATAACTGAAACAGACTAGCAGCAGCCTCTAACTTTTGATCATAGAAATCAATTAATACTCACGCCATACTCCTATTAGACTCCTTGCAGCTGCAAGTTTGGTACAGGCCAGAGGCAGCTATAAAGTGATATCCCAATAATATTACTTTCTGCCTCTATCACACTTAGCATCTTCATGCATCTTAAACTGTACCTTGAACTTAGAAAAACTAAGAAAAATGTGTGCTTACTAAATATGCATTACTTAAAATATTCCATCATACCAAAATACCAAATTATGATAACTAAACTGATAATTTTACCCATTCATAAACATCATTATTCAATCCAATCAAAATATCTTTTACTGAAAAATTTATTTAAAACTTTTTCTCTCAGGCGTCATATAAGTTTCTCCATTACTTTCATCCTTCTATAAAATTCACTATATATTAAATATTTCAGTGTCGAAATTAAAATAATCTCTGAAATATTAATTAAAATAACAAGCACACTTCTTCTTCAAATAATACTTTATACCCAAGTAATCAGTTAACCTCAAACCACAAGGTTTAACATCCAGATCAAAACCCTTTGTTTCTATTCATATGTTACTTAATAGTTGTTTTTTTGTGTAACTGATATAGTTGTGTTATTTAATACTCAGAAATGATTTCATTTAATGTTGATACACATGTGTGAGACGAAGTACGAATGTTTATGTTTACATATACATACAATAGTATATATTACACATTGTCACATACACTAGTGGCTTAAACAGACTGCCAATGGCCTCGGGCACAAAATTACCATTTTGGTAACATTCTCAAGTTAATACTAGAAATAAAAGACCTTATAACACCAAAATGTTGTTTTTATTTAATTAGACACTCAACGTTTCGTTTTACAGCTTTTTATGTGTCTTATATACATCAATATGCACTGCAGAAATTAAACATTCTTAAGTTCGTTTCATCCCACACGCTATATTTGATAGCTGTGGTGCAGTAAGGTGCCGCCATCTAGGATTCGTTAAACTCAACCTATTTTCTTTTCACGTATCACAACATAAATAACCACAGAGACTTAACTAAGACTTTCGAGATAAAATCTTGTAAGTCAGAA